CCAAATTAAGTGAGGGGGAAGGATACGCATTTCAAATTTTTTTCCTTGACTTGTTTGATTGTTTGAAATTGAGATATTATGATATTAATATGTTGGGATCATTGGTTTTTATTCTTGAACTTCATTTTATACTCTTGTTTCCTTTTGGATTATGACCATGTTTTGATCGAATTTAATTTACATGATTGGTAATTGGCATAGCTGGTGAATTTTTTATGAGTATTAATATTTCATGCTTTTGTTGATAGAGATGAACTTGACTCAGTGCATATAAACTTTTCTTGTGAGATTCGAACCTAACGAGCATACATTTTGTTTCTTGGTCATTGTTTGACTTGAGTGTGCCGGACTAATTAGGATATTCTAGAACTTGTAATCATAATGCATATTGAGACTACATGTTGAACGTAATGTTTTAATGTGATAGATGCACCTAGGATAAACCGTTTTTCCCAAAAAGCCTATCCGTTTATATATCTATTAGTGAACCACATTTGAGCATATCTCCCTTTCCTTGTTTTACACCTTATAATTAAACCAGAAGCCTTTCTTTTTATTTTCCTCTCTTTTCACACCCTTCTCGAGATTTGAGATCTTGTATCATTCTTATTCCACGGGAAAAAAGAAAATGAAAAAAATCACTGTTTAAAAAAAAACCATTGTTTAAAAAAAACAAAGATGTTCACTGTTTTGAACAACAGAGAAAAAAGAAAACCCTTCGTTCAAATGAAAAAAGAAGAAGAATAAGAAAAAATCGATCGTTTCAGTTGCCTTTCATCTATTCTTTTTCCTTGTTTTATATTTCATTGTGCTTCATGTTAATTCGTAGATTGATCTTAATTATTTTGATATCTTGTTTTGACATTTTAAACCTTTTTTTGGCATTTTCCCTACTCTAACCTAAGCCTCGTTACATTTTGTTTAAAGGCCCATTGATTATAGCATTATGTTCACTTTTAGTAGTGGAGACTTGATTGGATTCCAAGCCTATGATAACATTTTGGTTAGTTTCGGTTTGAGCGATTTTATTTACCCCAAACAATTTGAGCGGATATGTGTGAATCTTTGTGAGGTATTGAGTCATGTTTCATTGAAATTGAAAATTAATTTAGATATCTTGCTTACTTTAAATTTTAATGGTTGTGTCTTTGCCTGATTGCAACTTGAATTCAGAATATGCCATGGACTTAGTTCAACTGGAAGTTTGAGGAATAACATGAGATTGAAGATGTCAATTTACGATTTTTGATGTATTAATTGATGAATGCTTAAGGACAAGCATTGAATAAGTGAGAGGGAAATTGATAAGTGTTTTATTTAGCTATTATTTTGCTTTTAAATTGCTCTGTAATCATTATTTTTGTGGCTTATTTGTTCGTTTTGATTCATTTTCTGTGCAGTACACTAGATTTTGGAAATTGCACTAAAGGACAGAATTATGTATTTTTTTTATTTTCAGAATCAAAGCTGAATTAGTGGGCATGACTTTGGACATGAAGCATATGATGTGGCGATGACGTCAGTACATTCTAGAAGGTCCAGTCAACGCTTCTAGAAGAACGAATGAATCAACCACACATTTCTGCAATTCGGATTTGAATTAAACTCATGTTTTAGGATATTATTTTAAATAATATATTTTATCTTATCTCTATTTTAGATATTTTAGTTTAAATAGTTTTAAATATTTTAATTATGATTTAGGATATTATTTTAAATATATTTTATCTTATATTTGCTTTAGGTATTTTAGTTTAAATAGTTTTAAGTGTTTTAATTAGGATTTATGATATTATTTTAGAAATTATATTTAGCTTGTTTTTAGGATTTTGAAGGTTATAAATACACTCTCAGTGTAAGCATAAAAACATATCTCTCAACAATAGAGAATTTACTCTTCTTATTCTCTCTATCTTTATAAAATTATCTCTTTTACTTTCTTTCGAGTTTTCGATTTTTTTTTTATTTTAAAGTTTTGTTTTCAAATATGCTAAGTATGACTTTAGTCATGATTAGCTAATTTTCTTTTAAGCCGAAGGTTAAAGCGAATGCTCAATTCCAAACGTGAGAATTGTAAGACACTTAAATCGCTTCAGATTTTCTCTCTATTTTCTGGGCTTCTTTTCAAATCAAAACGATTTTCAAAACCAAAAGTCGGTGTTGGTCTGGATGTTGTTATGGTTAACGTGGGAAGAAGGATCGGCATATTGAAGCACATTCGACTTCCTGTGAACACACTTAGCAAAATTGCTTGCTAAGAGAAAACTGAGATCAGAATCAGTTATTGTTGAAACAAAATAATCCGAGTCGACAGCTTTTTGAACTTCAACGTTTTAAAGATCTACAACATTGTTGTTGCTTAGATCAACTCACCAACCGAAATTTAAGAGTGCACTTGGATATTCGGTATACAAAGCATTGTCACAAGGATTTGTCCTTGTAGACAAGTAGCCGACGTGAATCTTGAAGTAAATATCTATTTCGATAATTCGAGGAATTTGAAGCAAAGCTTAAGCCTGTTCATACTATAAGTCTTCTTCATCTCAATTTATTTTATTTAATTGATTATTTAATTTTTATCTCATTATATTTCTTTAATCAATTTAAAAAATCCCCCTTTATTATCTTTTTCATTATTATTTATTATTTTATCCTTATCTTCATTTTAAAACAATTTATATTTAATTAATTAATTTATTTTATTTATCATTATCTAAAATTTTATATTATTCTAAATAAAAAAGTCAACTAAATCAGAAACACCAGAGTTTCTGTGGATCGACACTGTTTCTCTATACTACTTTCATTTTATACTTATTAAGAAGACGAAATTATTTTGATAGAAAAACGACAGTTATCATAAATGAAACTAGGGTTTAGTTTTCAAATATAAATAACAATTGTGTTGGGTTTTTTTATTAAGCTGATGTGATTACAAAGTAGTATTTGTTTTAAATATTCTCAATTATTTGACTATAAATGCTCAATCACCCTGCTATAATCACTAATGTTCAAATTTATGACATCTAAAAACAATAATGATTCTTTTAATCATTTTACATACCAACTTATTGTGGATAAATATAGAATTATTATTAATACAAATACAATGTGACAAATTGTATAGGAGATACTGTGCGACTATAGTTTCTTAGGACAAAACAAAACCATTTTTTCATTTTACTCCAATGACTCTCCACAATTTTCAGCTATTTATTTTGCTTTTTTTTTTTTTCTATTTATATTTATATATTTTTCTTTTTTTTTCTTTTTGTGTAGAATGTAGGCGTATTTACCGAAAATCATTGAATTTTTTATTTACGTGTCAGACATTATTAGAGAAAATATTATGGATCTAATACCTTTTACATAATCCGCGCTTTACGCTGATGTGGCGTCACGTGGGGTAAGACGCTGATGTGGCGTTACGTGGGGTAAGACGCAGATCATCACACGTACCTTTCTGGGATGAGTGTTAAATTCGTAAAAAAATTATGAAATAGTGTCTGATATGTAATTAATTTTTGTTATGGTGATTTTTGTGTAAAAACGTCACGAATTATTAAAGAAGTAGCTAATTAGTTATTATATAATAAAGTTAAGTATTATGACCATAAATTATCAAAATAATTACTCAATTATTAAAATAAGACGAATTAAAAATATAATAATAAAAAATAATTTTTTGAAATATCAATGATGAAAATAAAACATATTAAAATATTTGGTATAATTATAACTAATGTATTTTCAATTATTATATTAAAAATCAATTATAAATTATGATAAAATATTTTTCTTTATTATCATCGTCATCGACCAATTAATGGAGTATATATATAAGTTATAATTTAAATTAATCATTTATTATGTTATTATTCAAATTAATTAAGAAAAAAATATGATAAAATGTTTATAAAAGAAAAGTATAAATACATACATGAAAATCTAAAGATTTTTCTTTGTTTTGTATTACTCTGTAAACTTGTAACAAAATTTAATAAAAAAGAAGAAGGTAAAACTAAAAAATATCACTTATATATTTAAAATATTTTTTCTAATACTAATTTAAAAAAATATAAAATAAATATTAAATTCTAATTTTATTAAAAATTAATACACATTATTAATTGTTGTTAAAAAATAATAAATAATAAATAATAATTCATTTGATCTCTCAATTGTAATTAAAATTTTATTTTTATATTTTTAAACTATTATTTTTAAAAGTTAAGAATTTTTTCAAAAATATATAAAATCTATAATTTTTTAAATTATAAAATATTTCTTCTTATTATTATTATCATCATCATCTTGCAAAAGAAATACTAGTTATAAAACTTTTATAAAAATATTCAAATTTTAAATTAATTATCCTTAAAGTTTTTATAGACTAAACTATACATATAAGATTTTGAAAGTATCAAAAAGACATTAGAAAGTGTCAAGTGATAATTGATAGACATAATTTTATTGTGTATTTTTATGTAAAAGTTAAAATTTATCGAGTTATAAAATAATTTATAAAAACATATTTAACCATTTTAATGTAGACATTTGTTTAAAAAAGAAAAAGAAAGAAAATTGATATTTTTACATAAATATTATACTAACAAAAATTAATAACATATTTAATTTTGTTTAAAAAAATTATACGAATTTAGCATCCATCCCAAAAAGGTTCGGATGTGATCCGCGTCCTATCCCAAGTGTCCCATGTGATCGTCTGGTTTTTCGGTAAAAGGGTTAAATTCATAAAATTTTCTTTAATAGTATCCGACACATAAATAAAAAAATCAGTTATTTTTCGATAAATACGTCTAAAATGTAATAATTTTCAGTATTATTTTAGAGTAGTAATCGTTTTCTTTATCACAATCTTGCCTCGATACCCTAAACCTCAAGATTTGAATCCACGAACTCTCCTTACTCCTTCCTTTATAATCCCCCCTCTCTCTCTCTCTCTCTCTCTCTCTCTCTCTCTATATATATATATATATATATATATTTCCTTCTTTATTTATTTATACCCCTTCTTTTTCATCATCAAAAATCTATCTTTTGCTGTGTTTTTTTCCCTGGTTTGAAGCTGAATTATCTTCAACTCTTTCACGGAGCTAGAACCCATAGCTTATCGAGATTGTTCTTTTTCCATATATAATTTATATTTGTCGAAGTGAAAAGTTTTTGATGATGGCTCAAAAGCTCTTGCACGAGTTGCTGGAAGAAGATCAAGAGCCATTTATTCTCAAGAATTACATTGCCGATAGGCGTTGTCAACTCAAGAAACCATCGCCTAAAACTCATCTCCAAATCAACAAACGAAAACTCATCTCTCCAAACTCAAACTTTCCTTCGAATTTCTGCAAAAAAGCTTGTTTTTTATCGACCCATGATTCCCCTGACTTAAAAAAATCCCCTTTGTTTGAACCCAAAAGACCCAACACCATATTTCTCCTTGATGCCGCTCTTAGAATTCAACAGCAATCTTCATCAAAAACCAAATCCCGAAACAAAAGCAGCAATGGCACTGGCTTTGGGTTATTTGGTTCCATTCTGAAGAAGCTAACTCATAGGAACAAAATCCCAGAGCGTGAAACAGTTAACAGTGGATCAAAAGTTTCAGTCAAGGACATTTTGAGGTGGGATTCAACTCTGGGGAAAATTAATGGAATAAGTGAAGAGAAAAATGAAGAAAAATCCATGGATATGGACTTGGGCACTTCGTGTAGCTGTTGTAAATCAAAGGATTCTGAAGAGATATCAATGTCCAATGGAGTTTTAGAATATAACTCAGCTTTTGATTCTTTTGATAAGCACTTTTCTCAAAGCCCTTTCCATTTCGTGCTTCAAACAACCCCATCTCCAAGCCGCCGTGAAAGAGAGGTTAGTACATTTAATTCAAAGATTACTTGTAATCAATTTGGTTAATTATAACATCAACTCTTAGGTTAGTACATTGAGTATGGTATAGGGACTAAGACCACAATATGAACATTTCTTATCCAATGGCTGGTGTGTCGATCTGTAACAGGAGAAAGAAAATTACGAAAGCTTGAAAAGGTTGAAACTTGAAGAAGAAGAAGAACAGTGCAGCCCTGTTTCTGTTTTGGATTGTCCATTCGAGGATGATGATAGGCATGTGGATGCTGACGATGATGAGGACGATGACGGTGATAATGGGATGGACCGTTTCGATCTTGAATGCACCTATGCAATAGTACAAAGTACGTTTCTTTTAATTGCTTTCAATGCTTAAACTTGTTAGCCATAAAAGAAGTTGGTACTTGGTAGAGCTAAGGTTTTTCAAATGAATATAGCCTTTGATGATGATGATGGTACGTGTAATGTGTGATCCATGGAGATTTTGTAGCCATTAGATGTTACCTTGTACTTCAAGGTAAGGTTAAACTGACCTGTTGAAACAGACACCATTGTTTGTCATAACTTCACTGGGACCCACATTTCAAAGTTTGGGGATCTGTCACAATTGAAATTTTTTCTGGGTTTAGTTTGAACATTGATGCTTTTGAAGATTTTTTTTCTGGGTTTAATTTCAATGCTTATCTTAACAATGTTTACCGTTATATTGACGCCCTTTTCTTGTTTCATCACCAGGAGCTAAGCAGCAGTTCCTGCAAAAACTTTGTAGATTCGAGAAACTGGCTGAATTGGATCCGATCGAGCTCGAGAAAAGAATTTTAGGGCAAGAGCGACATGATGATGATGATGCCGAGTCATCTTCATCAGAAAGCGAAATGAAAATTGATGACTATAATCTAAAACATATCCCAGATTGCATGAAAAGGCTAGTATCCGATCTCATTGCCGAGGAAGAGACGGCGAAATGTAATGGTTCCACCGATAAACTAGCGGCAATGGAAAGGGTATGCAAAAGGCTGGATTCATGGAAAGATGTACAGTCAAACACCATTGACATGATGGTGGAACAAGATTTCAGAAGAGATCAGATTGAGGGTTGGAAAGGAAATGAAGAACAGATCCGAGAGACGGCAATCGAAGTCGAACTCGCCATCTTCGGATTACTGATGCAAGAGTTGAGTGACGAACTAGTTTTTTTAACTGGGGTTTGAATTTGATGGCTAATTATTTTGAAGCTAAGGTGATTTTCCTTTTTGAAAAATCATGTGCTAATTAGAGTCTAGAGAGAAGCACAACCACAGCCTGACATGCTGTCGGGATAATAGCAGAATATTTATGTATATGCAATAATATCCATGTATTTAGCATTGATCATGGCCTCAATGGGATAATATGCACAATATCTAGCTCTTAATACAAATTTTGTAAGGGGCAAGAGCTTAATTGTAATGATATAAAAAATTTAGTGACCTAAAACTAATTAAACCATATTTGTCCCTGGGTTGAATCAAACATTTAGAATATAGGCCAAACTTTTGTACTGAGATGAATACAGAAAGGAATACGGGAGGCTTATTGATTAAAACAAACATCTTTTGCTTGTTTTAATTGACCACCACTGGTTTCTTTATTGATTTGTTTTTCATTCATTTCCAAACACCGAAACGTGGGCAAAATTCCCAGGTCTGAAGGACAATTTAGGTCAGTTCGTTGTTCTGGTAATGACAACCAAATTTTAGCTATTTCGAAGAATCCTTTTGTTGGCTATAATAATAAAATAAATCTATTGAATTGTTTTAGTGATTAAAGGGAATAATATATTTTTTTCCTAAAGGACTTAAATTTAAATAATTGTATTAATAGAATGTATGTGTAATGTCATTCAATGACTAAGAAAAATATGTGTACATACATCAATTCTGTTACGTTATATCAAATATTTAACTCTCAAGGTGATATTAAGATTAACAACAACAAAAAAATTAATTATAACATTTTAAAGTTCAAGGATAGATAATATTGCAAATCATAAATTTGTCTCGTATGATGCAATCAATTAATCCAAAAAGATTAAAACATTAACTTTGTGCTGTGCAATGAAGAAAAGCCCATTGGTTTTGAGAAGATGTGTGTTCCAGGTGAATTCAATTGACTCAAATTATCTGCCTTTATAGTATAGTTTTATCGTATGATAGTTTAATTGAAGGTTAAGGAACGAAAGAGAATAAATGCGTTATAAAAATCATAACATTTTCGGTTGAATGTAACTTAAAATGTTAATTTTTTTAATATGTTCGGTTGAACTGAAAATATTATGAAGAAGATAACATTTTCGTTGTAAAAAAAAATGTTATGATGAAAGTGTGTAACCATAAAATACTAAAAAAAAGTCAACATTTTAAGTTGTGCCTAACTAAAAATGTTATACTTCTATAACATTTTTTTTTATTGTTCTTTAGTCTTAAATTAAGTTACCGTTGCTTGAAAATTTAGATTAAATTTCTTTATTGTTCTATAACATTTAGGTTAATTTGTTCTAGAATTTAGTCTTTCATTTTAAATTTAAGAGTATATTTTGAGATATATTATTAGGAAACGTTTCGAGAATTTAATATCGATTATCGAAACTTAATCGATTATTAAACATAAAAACACTTTAAAAACTACCTCGAAGAAAATAGAAAATGCTTTAAAAAAATAAATTTAGGGAACTTGGAAATAGATTTGATATTAGATTGTATTATGACAAAAAAATTCTTGAATATAATAAAAGTGAAGGGTTTTTTTTATTATTAATAATAAAAGTGAAGGTTGAATAACAATAAATAGGCAGTTATGTTAGCAAACAAAAACAGAATAAGGGCAACCCACATATCCAACACACATCTGCCTTACACCCAAACTATGGGGACATAGGAGTTCATCAATAACTGGTTTGCACTTTCACACTTTAATCTTCGAATCCCAACTCTTCCCGCGATTTCTCTTATCATCATGCATTGCTCCAAACCCAACAAAAGTTCCAGCAGCAGCAGTGTTGGCGGTGACGGAGGAGGCGGAACTGCAACGGGACAGCGCCCGGTTTACAAGGGAGTGAGGCGTAGGAGTAATGGGAAATGGGTGTCTGAAACTAGGGAGCCCAGGAATCCTAACACGGTACATTCCCAACTGCTGAAATGGCGGCTATTGCTTACGATGTCTCCGCTCTTGCACTCAAAGGCCGACATGCTGAACTTAATTTTCCCAACTCGGCGGCCTCGTTGCCAGTGCCGGCTCCGAGTTCTCCGCGCGATATTCAGTCGGCGGTGGCGGCGGCTCTGGGTGCTGCGTATGATGCTTTGAGAAACACTAATCCAACAGTAGTGGCGCCTGAGAAGCGTTCAACGTTTGATGATTTCGTGGACGAGGAATTGATATGCCTAATGTTCTTTGCAGTATGGCGAGGGGATGCTGCTTAGCCCTACTCGCTTGGACGCCGCCGCTACCTATCAGCCTCCGGCCGATAACGATGGAGATTCTGACAACCGTTGGATTTCCATTCATAACAATATAGTAAACAAAATAAAACAATAATAATTGATAATACTGATCATATTAATAATAATAAGGGGATCACTGGGCAGGCTTGATATATGTAAATGTTTAATGCTTATTCCGTCCGTACAATATGAATGGGTGTGTATTTATATGATATATATAATGATGGTCGGGCTTCTGCAGGTTTTATATTTGGCCGTTGGCTAAGGTTCCAAAGTTTTACGGTAGAATGCTCAGAGTTCAATCAATTGAATTACATTCTCTTTCGAATGTTAGAACTGATCCAAATCCCTACAGATGAGAAAGAGAGATTATGATATCAAAAACTGATGTATAATATGAAACTTTGATTCAAAGTTTAGCAATGAGATTTCAAAGGCAAAGACAATTCATCCAATATTTTGTCAGGTGACGGAATTTAGGCAAAGCAAGTAAGGGAGCCTTAGTCAACATGCATAATCAACAAGGTGATTTTATGGAACTGAATATCAAATTACATAAAGTAGTTTATATAATTCGATTAGTGTTTATTATTAATCTGTGAAGGCAATATTTATTTGAATATAACTTTTAACCTTTCGACGTTAAACGTTTACATCCCTAACATTTTTTATACTTGAACCATGGCCTTTAAAGAATAACAGTAATTCATTAATCACGGATGCCACTTGATTAGTACATGTATGAGTTAAAATTTAAAGACTAAAATAGCCGGGTTGTGAAATTAAATTTTACACAAATAACCCTTAAAAATGGTTTGACAGCTATTTCAGTTAAAGTCTATTAGCAGTCCATATATTATAACAAGAAAATTATTTTAGCCTCTTCATTATTTAAAGGTTTCTTTTTCTTTTTCTTTTAGGGAAGTCGGTTGGCATTTATTGATAAAAACAATAATTACGAAGGAAAGCCAGCAGGGCAAAATATGTAGAACAAAATATACGAAGGAAACAAGAAAACAACTAGTGCAAAACAGAATCAGTAAAGGAAAATGAAGAAAAGCCAACCCGACACAAGAACCCCAACCATAACAAGCTCACATCGTTGAAAGGACAATGGTCAGGAGTCAAATGAGGACGATGTAGAGATATGAAAATAGTCCTCAATAAAAGACAACCCCAAAAATCTACCATCTTCAGCAGCTGCTGGGATAACACAAGCCGGAGCATCCTCAATCCTGTTGTGAGGTCCGACCGACGCCCTTGCACGTTTGGAAACGTGAATATTTAAGTCCAACATATTAAACTACAATTAATTGAATTTAAATACTCCTCAGGTCACTAACAATATATAAATTGAAGAAATTGATCCTCATTAAATGGTCATTTACTTCGTGTACATTTTAGAAGTGAACAAATAAAAATAAGCTTCGACACCGTTAACTTTTTTTATTGATAAATGACACATGTACAATTGTGATAATTTTTTTTAAAAAAAATAAGTTTATATAATATTTAAAATAATAATTTTTTTTTATAAAATAAGAATAAAGATGACAAAATCACATCCTTTCAAGTCGTGAAGATCTTAACCTGTTTTATACAACAATCAAGCGGCTTAAGAATTTCAATCTGAAGAACCGAGAAACCAGTCCTTCCAACAGCACAATTGGCAACCAACATCGTCAACCGTTCACCAACTACATTCCTTCTTGGTAATTTGTAAAATTCACGACTTTAGAAATAGCATCTTCAAATAACATAAGATTCTCAAATGACTTTAGTTTAATATTGTGATACTCAATCTCGTCCGCCTATTGCCTGAGGCAGGTTATCACCTAACGGAGGCCAAAACATTACTAGATGCCGCTCCTAACATCCGGGTGTCCTATATTCGACGATCTGCAAATCTTGTGGCACACCACCTAGCGACTTGGGCTGCCTCATCTGCTGCTTCTTTAGACTTTAATTATGATTATCCATGCTGCATTTCTACTTCTGTAACCCAGGCATCTGAACCAGTCCGACATGGTACGGCGGATGCTGACATTTCACCATCTTCTGTGTTCTGACCCCACCAACCATGCAATCGTGTTCGTATATATGTCTTGGTTGCCTTCTACTGTTTCTTTCTTATTAATCTATATGCTTCTTAATTTGAACTCATAGGGTGTTTGATTGAAGGACCACAAGACAGCAAAGGATGTTGATTTAAGCAGCATCAAATGTTAAATTATAACCATTATTGACCATTGTGCTTTGCTTAAACAAAGATTATATTATATATGATAACATATGCTTCTCACTGTTCAAGTCTTCTGATGACATTATCCCTTCTCTACTCTAAAGGTAAATTATTTAATTATATAGGTATCCAAAAAAAATATCTATTTGAATCCCCAGCAACCCCCATCGGCAGACTTTAACTCGTCTTCCAATTCCTCCCTTTGTTAGTCTAAAAAAGAGAGAACAGCTTCATCGGGATTACATTCGCCACATCTCGGGAGCAGATTTAGATGCCGATCAAGTTTCTCTTTCAAAAGGGAGAAACATTTCTTTTTCGGCTCCCTTGTATGAAGATCCTTACTCTCAAAATTGAGTAGGTGAAACTATTGACCCTGTTTGGAAGCTGGCTCCAGGTTTCGACTACTAAAACGGTGTATCGACACCAATGTCGATGAAGACATCCTCTCTTTCTTTAACGAAAAAAGAGGAGTTAGAGACCAAACTGGGTCCTATCGATGTCCGCCGGCTCGACGATCACTTCTTTCAAGTGATATCGATAATAAAAATAAATTTTGTTATCTTTAGAGATTTTGATTTCTAACCGCTATCTTTGTATGGCATACATGTGTTGTCAATTAGTTAAGAAATTTATGAATAGATTTCTAGCAGCTATTTTTTCATACCTATTAAAAACCACTACTTTAAAAAATATTTAGA